AAAATAAAATAAAATAAAATAAAATAAAATAAATAAAATAAAATATAACAGAGACGCGATGCTGCCACCTTTCTACCCCTGGCGTGAGGACTAAATGAATCCATCCGTGTCACGGTCCTGGCTCAGGGCTGGCTGGTGTCCAGCGGACGCTGGAAAACCTGCGGCTGCTTTTAACTAATTTATAAAATGGGCTGTTCACTCTGCAGACATGTAGGGGACGCTGCTGCTGTGTGCCAGGCTCCAGACCCCCCCCACCCCCCTGCCAGCTCTGGAGCTTGGAGGCCCCAGACCCCTGCCCACAGCCTGACCTCCACACACAGAGGCCATAGGCCCCAGAGGGGCTTAGGCCAGAGGCCAGACGCGGCAGGTGCCCACGCTGGTCGTCCCTCCAGGTCGTGGCCCAACCCGAGCCAGCCAGAGTCCGGAACCAACACACCAACCCGCCTTGGCCCCGCCTGGACCTGAAGGGCAGGGGTCCAGCCGGTCGCACCCCAGCGGCGCCCCGAGTGGGCGGATCTGGGCTCCAGGTGTAGTTCCGCCTGGGGTCCGAACCGGATTCTCCGCCGGGTCCTTTGCGGTGGAAAATCCGGCAGGAGGTACCTTAACCGGTGTGGCTCAGTGGATAGAGCGTCAGTCTGCGGACTCAAGGGTCCCAGGTTCGATTCCGGTCAAGGGCATGTATCTTGGTTGCGGGCACATCCCCAGTAGGGAGTGTGCAGGAGGCAGCTGATCGATGTTTCTCTCTCATGGATGTTTCTAACTCTCTATCCCTCTCCCTTCCTCTCTGTAAAAAAATCAATAAAATATATTTAAAAAAAAAGAAAGAAAGAAGAAGAAAAAGAAAGGAAGAAAGAAAGAAAGAAGAAAGAAAAAAGGAAATCCGTCCGGAGAGGAAAGAATGATCCTGTGGAAACTTAACTGAGCGTCGGGGTTACCATGGCGACCGCGGAGCCCGTTTCCCCAGCCCTGGGGGCGGGAGGGGGTGGAGACGTCGGCTTGCGATTCGCCGTTGCCTTGGAGACGCCCCACGTCGTCCCGCCTTCTAGGCACTTGGATGCTGGTGATTGGTCGTCCCCAGGGGAGGGCGTGGCTTCAGGTCGGGTACCAGGCTGTCCGCCTGCCCCTGTTCAGAGCCGGGGAGAGCCTGAGCGCCCCGCAAATGCTGGCACCACGTCTTCGGGCCCCCCACATCCCGATGGCCAGGCCCCCCGTCTTCGTGATCTATAATTTTCTAAATTCCCGTCTCTAGTTCCATCAAAATCGGATGCCTCGTTCTCCCCCAATATTCATCTAAAGTCCTTCTCCAAATCCTGCCTCTGGGTCCCCCCAAATCCAGGTCCCCGTTTCTCCTCCAGGTAAGGCCTTGGAGTCCCCCTCCTCAAGTTCAGGTCCCCGTTTCTGCCCTACTTGGTGCCTTGCACCCCCAAATCGTAGCCACCAGGAATCCGTGTCCGTGGAGACTCCTGAATTCATAGCCTTCCAATGCAAGCGGGGTCCCTCTCGTGACGTCTATATTACGTCAGTTACCAGGGGACCACCTGTGGCCTTATTGGATTCTGTTCTCCTTTCCATGCTGCAGGGGGAAACCGAGGTTCCGAGGGGGAGCCCCTGTCTGCCTTTGAAGAGGAAGAGGCAGGGGTGGGGGGCCTCTGGGTCCTGCTGAGTGTGAGGGTCCCTCAGTCAGCACCTCGCCGGGGGCATCCCCGTGACCAGGCAGGACCCCCAAGGGCCGGGGAGGGTCCCTCCAGGACCAGAAACCCACCCCAGCCCCTCCCCAGCCCCAGACACCCCAGTGGGAGGCCCAAGCCTGCTGCTCTGCTCATACCCGTGGTTAGGAGGGCAGGGCCATGGGCCGCGGGCTGCAGGCAGGGGTGTTGGGGTGCAGCTCCTGTGCCTCCTGCCGGAGACTGAGATCGAACCCCTTCCCCAGCCCAAGGCACCCAGAGTCTCTGAGACGCTCCTGGACTTGGGGGAGGGGCAGGGTGAGCCTCAATAATCAGTCAGTCAACAAGCAATACAGCTGATGAGCAC